ATATATATATAGATATATATATATATATATATATATATATATATATATATAGGGTTGGGTTCATGTGAGACCCATGGTTGCTCGTGAGACCCGTAATAACAATTTATGTTCATTGATCAACTTTATAAGCTAATGATCTAATGGTCTAAAGTTACACGGTGACAATTTTGTGATTATTGAGAAGTCTCGTGGCAGTTTTGTGATTATAATCACATATGATTTTATGCTTAGATCATTTATTAACCCAAAAAAGAGTGTTAACTATAATAACTCCATAGACCAATCAAAAGGTCTTTATATTTAATGTTCATATCTCTCTATGCACTTAATGTCGAGGGTATGTTAGTAGTTTTCCATTTTGGTCTTGATTAAAACATATATAATTAACTACTATAAAAAGATTCACGTTCCATGATTTTAGCCATTTTTCCTTTTTTAGTCTTGATTGAAACATATTTAATTGGTCGTTACAACTAAGTAATTTCATAAAAGCATGGTCTCATAACAATATAGTGAAATAATGCATGTGTTCATGAGCGAACCATAATATGTTCATAGTTGTAAATTGAACATAACTAAACTTGCATAAAAAAAATCATTTGTTGACTGTTGTAAATTGACTCAAACCATTACATTGTGAGAAATTTTCTTTTTCTGTGAGAAATAATAAAAGTACTTTTATATTGTGTGAATATTACGTTATATTTGAAAAGTTAATGTGAAAAGAGTAACCTCCGCATGCATTAAGACAAATAAAGTTATATTTGATGGGTTCATAATAAATTAACATTATATTATGTGAAATTTCAGATATGGAAAGAGAGGTTCAAAGGACAACATTATATAAGTAAGAAAACTTGAGAATATATTACATGTGATTATATATCAAAGAGACAGACGGTCTTGGCCGCCACCTAGTTCATGACCCTGTTACTTACTCAACTAGCACACACACCCTTGCATGCTTAGATGAACATATACGGACAAGAGTATCATTGGAAAAAATAAGAAAAACTTATCCTCATCATATAGTAACCGACATACATAGATATATACATACATGTGGTGTTAAATTTATTACTATTCATAAAGTAACTGACATAATACATCAATTTATTTTCATGTATGTATGTATGTGTGTGTGTGTGTATATATATATTTATAATATATATAAGGGTAATTTTTTTTGTTAACCCAATAAATAGTGTTAATTTTATGAACTGATCTTAGCCCTTCATCTTGGAAATCTATAGTTTGCATTCATCATGACGTTTTTGTAATAAATTAAAAAAGATGTTTAATAAACATCGGTTAATAGTTATGAACAAAGGGTAATTTTGGAAAAGATTAGGGAGATTTATTTTAGCATTAATTACTTCTTCGATAACCGACATCAATCTTAACTTATGAATGGTGTATGATGTATGGAATGCGTAACTCATGAATGTGTGAGCTAATGAACATTTGTCATATATGAACAATGTTAATACATAACATTTGTTATAATATCCGTGTTTTCGTTAACTCGTACAAATTGGGTTAATAGAATTTTGGTAGAATTATGCATAATATATTTGTACCCTATGCTTAACCAATTTGTACCCTAGACTAGTTTTACGTCAAAAATGTGTTTATATCTATATTGACGTAAAGTTGAAATTTAACTTGAAGAGTAAAAACCGTCAAATAGTTAAACTATATATATATTTTATATATATATGGCGGTTATGAGATTAAAAAAAAAAAAAAAAATTTAATTATAATTATATATATATATATATATATATATGAGGCGGTTCATCACCGCCTCACTCTCATTCTCTCACCCTCATTCTCTCTCTCTACAATTCTCTCTCTCTACAATTCTTTCTCGTCTTCTCTTTAAATTTACGTCAAGTTAGTAAGGGGATCGAGACAACAATTATATATTCGGATTCCACTCTCCGAACTCTTCTTAAAGGTATAAGTTTCATTCAGTTTCATTAAGGTAATTATGTTGGGGTTATTAAGACCGGTTTATAAACTGTGTTTATATTTAAGTTTACGGATGAATATTGTTATAAGTATGATATATTTCATGTTTAGTATGTTGAAGTA